TTTTGGAAAAATGTATTCTGGAATAGTAGATTGATGGTAAATGTGTGGTTGAAAAAGAAGGAAAAGTTATTGATGTGATGAAAAATATTATTTTATTGAAAAATGTGTGGTTGAAAATAAGTAGAAGAATGAAAATAAAAATTTTGATGTGTACCAACCAGGTGCTAACTTTCACTCTCTGTATATAGTGTCGTTTGAATGTGAGTTAGGGAAAATTAGGTTTATTTTTGTAGTGGAACAATTTTTACTAAAAAGTATATTAAAACCCTATTTATGTAACTTTATTTAAGGTTATTTAAGTACATAAGAAAAATATTAAAAATCGTGGTGCACTTAATAAAATTTGTAGTGGTAATATAATTACCCTATATTAAATATCACTGACAATAATTTTTGGAACGATTAATGCCCATACTCCAATTTAGTTATTTCAACAATATTTTACTTTTTATTTTTTAATATGTATTTAATTTACAAATTGTAATAAATACTATAGTTAATTCTCAAGTAATTAACATTTACAATTATTTAATGAATATTAATTAGAATTTCACGTTCACATTCAAACTCTGTTACTAATTCTCAATTAATTAACATTAAAATTCACATTTATTTAATTAATATTAATTAGAATTTCACGTTCATATTCAATTCATTATTCACGTTCATATATACTAATTAACATCGAGTTTTCATTAATTGGAAATTAAATTATATTCATTTAATATAAATGATTTAGCGTTTATTGTAACGTATTTATTCATTTGTATTAATTCTAAATTAATTAAAATTTATGTTAATTCATGTATTGTATTTATCATTCATCTTCAATTATGCATTTAGTTGTAATTCTAATACTCACATTTAAGTATGCATTTCACTATTTACGTGTATGTATAATAATTAAGATTTATTTTCAAGGGTTTGCATCTTTCTCATGTTTAAATCGAAAGGGTAAATTGAGGATCAAATATACTTTCACATCACTTATAAAATATTTCAAAATAACGTGCAATGTACTTCAACTCTGACTAGTAAATCAAAATATGAAATTATAAATTACTTAGTCATCGTCTAGAAAAATTCATAATTTATCTCTATCAATTGAAGACATATTAGATACTTCTGATTGTGGTGTGTATAGACATGTCACGTAAATATTAACATTAATATCACATAACGTAAAGGAATAATTAGGCACGTGTAATATTTAATTTATAAAATCCACATAATGTGCCGAATAATTTTGATCCTTCAATCTTACAAATTTACATTCTAAATATATGTTTTATAGGTTACTTTTGTCCTTTAGAACATTCTTTAGGACATTTCATGCGGTTTGGAATTTTTCAAACAAAATCAAACCATTTTATTTTTCGAACCAAACCAAACCAAATCATAATTTGCGGGTTAATTCGGTTTTAATTCGCAGTTTACCTATCAACATTATAATAATATATTTAAAATAAGTTAATAGATAAGTTTAAACGAGAAATAATAATGTTAAATATTAAATTACATTCATCTTTCTTACGAAACCCGTGAATAAATTATTTTCAAAATTGGTTGGTAAAAGATGTTAATAGAACGAATATATTTTTCTTCCTTTTTATTTACTTTTTCTTATTTGTCTTTCATATTGTCATATAGTGGTTGGTAAAGATAGAGTCACATTTTGCTATATTAGTTTGGTTAAAACTCCTTTCGTCCTACTAGTGAGATGAAAAACAAGGACAGAACATAATATGTTTAAATGTACAAAGAATGATAGAGTTTAGATTTATTGAAAATTGACAAATTTTCTAACGACTTTACGAAAGTAGAATGTACTATGTAGTATTACTAGTTAGGAAATTTTAACATTTTCACACAATCAATACGCTATATCATTCGTTCTTTCTAAACGATAAACAGTTCATTAATCACCTAAGCACACAAATGGTCATTTTTTTAATCCAAATCACAACTCACAAGTGTATAAAAAAAAATAATGAAAAAATGACTTGAATTGGAATCTAAGACTTACCAAGAGAGAAGAGGGAAATGGTGATTCAAGTAGAAATTAGTAGACTAACAAGCAAAAGACAACTAACGATTTGTGATTGGGAATCACATTTTGTTTAGCAGTGGCAAGCAAGCGTCAAATGTTTGAGA